GTATTTTGATATCTTATACTGGTTTAGTTGACTTTAAATGAGTTACTTTAATATCTTATACAGGTTTAGTTGAGTTTAAATGAGTTACTTTGATATCTTATACTGGTTTAGTTGAGTTTAAATGAGTTACTTTAATATCTTATACAGGTTTAGTTGAGTTTAAATGAGTTACTTTGATATCTTATAAAGGTTTAGTTGAGTTTAAATGAGTTACTTTAATATCTTATACAGGTTTAGTTGAGTTTAAATGAGTTACTTTAATATCTTATACAGGTTTAGTTGAGTTTAAATGAGTTACTTTAATATCTTATACAGGTTTAGTTGAGTTTAAATGAGTTACTTTAATATCTTATACAGGTTTAGTTGAGTTTAAATGAGTTACTTTGATATCTTATACAGGTTTAGTTGAGCTTAAATGAGTTACTTTGATATCTTATACATGTTTAGTTGAGTTTAAATGAGTTATTTTAATATCTTATACAGGTTTAGTTGAGTTTAAATGAGTTACTTTAATATCTTATACTGGTTTAGTTGAGTTTAAATGAGTTACTTTAATATCTTATACAGGTTAAGTTGAGTTTAAATGAGTTACTTTAATATCTTATACAGGTTTAGTTGAGTTTAAATGAGTTACTTTGATATCTTATACTGGTTTAGTTGAGTTAAATGAGTTACTTTGATATCTTATACAGGTTTAGTTGAGTTTAAATGAGTTATTTTAATATCTTATACAGGTTTAGTTGAGTTTAAATGAGTTACTTTAATATCTTATACTGGTTTAGTTGAGTTTAAATGAGTTACTTTAATATCTTATACAGGTTAAGTTGGGTTTAAATGAGTTACTTTAATATCTTATACTGGTTTAGTTGAGTTTAAATGAGTTACTTTAATATCTTATACAGGTTTAGTTGAGTTTAAATGAGTTACTTTAATATCTTATACAGGTTTAGTTGAGTTTAAATGAGTTACTTTAATATCTTATACAGGTTTAGTTGAGTTTAAATGAGTTATTTTGATATCTTATACAGGTTTAGTTGAGTTTAAATGAGTTACTTTAATATCTTATACTGGTTTAGTTGAGTTTAAATAAGTTACTTTAATATCTTATACAGGTTAAGTTGAGTTTAAATGAGTTACTTTAATATCTTATACTGGTTTAGTTGAGTTTAAATGAGTTACTTTAATATCTTATACAGGTTTAGTTGAGTTTAAATGAGTTACTTTAATATCTTATACAGGTTTAGTTGAGTTTAAATGAGTTACTTTAATATCTTATACAGGTTTGGTTGAGTTTAAATGAGTTACTTTAATATCTTATACAGGTTTAGTTGAGTTTAAATGAGTTACTTTAATATCTTATACTGGTTTAGTTGAGTTATTTTAATATCTTATACTGGTTTAGTTGAGTTTAAATGAGTTACTTTAATATCTTATACAGGTTTAGTTGAGTTTAAATGAGTTACTTTAATATCTTATACTGGTTTAGTTGAGTTTAAATGAGTTACTTTAATATCTTATACAGGTTTAGTTGAGTTTAAATGAGTTACTTTGATATCTTATAAAGGTTTAGTTGAGTTTAAATGAGTTACTTTAATATCTTATACAGGTTTAGTTGAGTTTAAATGAGTTACTTTAATATCTTATACAGGTTTAGTTGAGTTTAAATGAGTTACTTTAATATCTTATACAGGTTTAGTTGAGTTTAAATGAGTTACTTTAATATCTTATACAGGTTTAGTTGAGTTTAAATGAGTTACTTTGATATCTTATACAGGTTTAGTTGAGCTTAAATGAGTTACTTTGATATCTTATACATGTTTAGTTGAGTTTAAATGAGTTATTTTAATATCTTATACAGGTTTAGTTGAGTTAAATGAGTG